GACACCCGTCGAAACATGCAACGCCGGTCGAAAATGCGACGCCCGGTCGAAAAATGCGACGGCGGTCAAAAAATGCGACGCCGGTTGAAAAATGCGACGCCGGCTAAAAAATGCGACGCCGGTTGAAAAATGCGACGCCGGTTGAAAAATGCGACGCCGGTTGAAAAATGCGACGCCGGCTGAAAAATGCGACGCTGACTAAAAAATGCGACGCCCGGTCGAAAAATGCGACGGCGGTCAAAAAATGCGACGCCGGTTGAAAAATGCGACGCCGGCTGAAAAATGCGACGCCGGCTGAAAAATGCGACGCCGGCTGAAAAATGCGACGCCGGATGGGACTGGAAGACAGAGATGTAGGCTCGCATACCGTGCGGCACATTCAAATTGTGGTGGAAAAACCGACACTTGGTTTCACTATATACTCATCGTGCGTCGGCCAAGTTATTTGAGAAACTGTCCGAGATAGCGCCGCCACCACGCGGAAAATTTATAGGCCTGGAACCTCTAGGGTTCCGCCTCACCGGTTCCTGATTTAAGACTTGGGTTTGATGTGAAAGTACCTGACTGATATAACCCAATGTTTTTGGTTTCCAATAAAACTTCTTAGTCAGTGTTGTTAGATTAGTCATAACGTTGTTTTATTAATTTATGTGTCTTTTTGATGTGTTTAACTTCTACTTGATGTAGTTTATAAGGAATGATTAAATGTTTAATATCCGAATTTTGATTTCCATGTATTTTCACTGTTTCTTAAAATTGTGAATTGACTGTAATTCAGCCTTTGTCTAAATAAACCATTAGAATTAATAAGTACCCAAACATGCAGTAAGCTAGGTTTTGAAAAGAATGTCGTGCATATTCATTCTAACGGCTTTCCATAGTTGAAAGCAAAGTCTACGCAGAGTCCAACGCAGTCTCAAAGTGTCTTCTTTTAAGAAAATCGAAATGACAAATTCGTGTCTCTCAACAGTTTTGCAATGACTGACGTTAATTAACAATAATGGAGTTAAGTGACCTGACTTTGGCTTACTACAATTAGAAAAAGAAAGCTGGCGTTGGGATGCAGCATTTTTCCAGAGATTTTCCCCACTAGTTGGAAGTAGAACAAAACATTTTTAAAATTCCACCAGAATTCACACGCATTTGAAGACAGCTTCCCTAAGTGTTGCATCCGGGGGAGTGATCACGTGCTCTGGTACAGGCTTACAAAATTTTGTCAGCTGAACTACATGAGACCATGACTTGTGAACGTATACTCACCGCCCCCGTTCCTGTAGCAGAGAAAGGGAAATCGCCACAAATTACCAAGGCCCACAGCCAGCCCTAAGCAGGACAGTACGAAATCCAAGGGGTGTGACCAGTTCCCCCTCTCCTTATTCTCGTCGCCACTCCCACTCTCCTCCTCCTCCAAATCCGTGGCATCATTGACCTTCTTCTGGGCTTTAAAATCATCTCTGTCTGTCTGGTGTTGGCCGTCCATTCCGCCTGTTTGGTGAATTTCAACGTTCCCTGGCACGTCCCTGGGTGTGTCGAGCCAGCCAGTTTCACACACGGAATGTGTATTCACAATATTCAAATAATATAACCATTTTAACCTCACCGGGCTGGACTTAAGAATAGCAACTGTGAAACCCCATTTTTTGTGGCGTGGCGTCCTTGATAATCCTTTCATAAGATTAAGCATTGGCGAAACACGGGTTTAAGTTGCGGCCTGAACTCATGCGGTTGGCTAAGCAAATAGAATAGCCAAAACTTTCCGCACGGAAGGCTACGACGCGTATCGGCAGCCGATAGTTGATATCGGCTCGCGGATATCGGATGATGTTCAACGGATCCCGAGGGGGCAATCGTCTATGGCCTACTCGCCAAATGTGCACTATTAACCCCCAGGCAAATAAAGTAAAAACAAAGGCAACTCAGTAATATATCAGTGTAATAATGGGATTGGTGTCTGATGAGAAGACTACATATGCTATAATTAAGATGATTTGCATAATTTGGATGATTTTTCAACAATCCAAATTACTCTAGGCTGTTTCACTGTTATCAATCTGCATCCGTATTTTAGGTTTTATTGAAAAAAAGGATTAAGTATCGATTTGGGATTAACCCTATAGAATGATACACGACGACAATACCGGGGAACGTCTTAGAAAAAACGCATACATCCCACGGAATCCAGTTTTATTTGAGGTTTCGTAATGATGTTTTTGGTAGATAACCAAGAATCTTCACATGCACCGCCTCTCATGAAACTGGTATTAATAATGACCCTCCGCTAAAATTCTAAACGCACTCGTCAAGTATGGACAAAAACAATCATTACTTCCCGGGTCACTTCGTTTTCACCAAGATTATTTTGAAATTGTTATTTAGTAACTATGTTTAAACTTGTATTACAATTGTGGTATTTTTTTATTGTCAATCCTCAGGGTTATTACCTTCATATGTACTCATACTATTTTTAGGCGAAGGGAAAAGGCCAATCTTCCTTATAATATATTCACATTTTATCTAATGTAATTTTGATTGTGAACATTTTATTTTTGCTTTTTCCTGTAATGAGTTTATTCTTTTGTATTTATATCATACTTATCACTGTAAAAATCCTTAGGGTTTCTCCTCAGTGTTTATGTAAGGAGTTTCGAAGATAATGGCCAAGCTCCCAGAACCAAAAGAAAGTTGACTGAGAGTCCTTTTTTTTTTGCTGGCTTGAAAGAGTCCATATACTGCGGTCGACGTTTACAGAACCGTTGCCTCCACATATCCCGTTCGGATTGCACATCTCCCAATGTGACGACGTTGTATTTTGAATATGTAAGCAATGTCGAGTGCACTTCTGGCCCATTGCCAACGTCGAACACACCAAGTATTTATTGAGTTGAAACCATTTTAACCCACGTAACGAAAACAGGAAGTTTTAGCCAACCTGTTGCCTAAATTTTCACGGAAAACAGGTGGTCCATTTTTCACTGCTGTTAGCTCTGGTGAAGGAAAATTGTATGGAGGTGCACACGATTTCGATATGGACGCAACAAAATAAAACGTGCTCATGTTTTGTTTTCTGTTTTGCACAAATTGCGTGTTAGCTTTCTAAAACTCTTGAAAGTGTTCCATCATAAACGTAATTCACTTAACAACATATTATTAACGCCACTGAACACGTACCACTGGAGCAACACCACCAGTGAACGGCGCCCTCTATTGCAGCATGACATGCTTTCCAGCCCCAACACTCATAGCAATCTGGTTCCCTGCCCAAAGATTCCATGACAATTCTTGATAAAAATCTTAGGTCATGCATCACCCACGGATATAAATAAATATGATGCAAGGGCCAGGGGTCAGAAGTTGAAAGCCCGGATATTTTCGATTTCATCACTGGCAACATCTCAAAAATGACACTTTTCCCATATCCATGGGCAATACTGCAAGTGCATCCCCACTGAGCGCATATTTCAGGCATAAAGCCTGCATTGGTTGAAGAAAGTAAGATTCTGCATTTCGCCTGGTATTTCAGCCAAGGCGACCTTCGATTTCTGTGTATAGAGTCAAATATTGTGGAATCAACAGCTGCCATTAGGATACGAGAATTTACGTTCAACAGCTAGCCCACTTACCCGGTCGGGATTAACCGAACGTCAACGGTATATACCATCCGAACATGCCTAAAATAGATGGGACGACTTCGGAATATTTCGGCTATTTCCGGAAAGCTGGAGGAACTCCTCCAGTCTTAGTCACGTGACATTGGGTGATACCGGATCCTTGATTCGTCGGATAGTCAGAATCATCGGGTCAGGTATCCAGACTACACTCATAGGTCATCCCCCTTCCCCCCGTTCACCGACAAAGAATTACGCCACTGTTACGGACAATACGCAGGGAGAGGATGACATTTTGTCCACTTGCCCAATTTTTAGGTTTAAATTGAAAGCCAACCACTTCATAACTGCTGTTGAAATGGCCCATGGAGCTGTTTTATATATAGTTTTAGATATAGCTCTGTGGAATGGCCTCATTTCCAAGTCGGCCATATTGAATTGAAAGCAAAGTTCACTTTTGTAATTTTGGGAGCTTGAGATTAAAACAGAAAGTAGTGAAATAAACGTCATTAAAACTGATGTCATTTAACGCCGATGAATAAGTTTAATTAAAATGTGTCATGCATTATGTTTTGAGCCACAGGCCTAGCCCTCAATTTTAATCTAATAGCAGACAAAATAGGCCTTAAAATGTTGCTTTGAGATGATAATGAATATCGGTAGCCATTTGAAAGAATATCCGACATGCACAGTATAGAAATGGTAAATAAGCAACAACGTCGTCAAAAATTCAATCTATAGAGAATTGACCTGTTGCGTGGTGCAGAAAAGAGAAGAAAATAGGAAACCAAACAATCGCTAAACTTTCGTCAAGGCTACAGTAAAAAGAGTGCATAGCATTTACCCTTATGTCATTCATACACAACCAAGAGAAAAATTTAAATTTAGAACAGCAATGAAAATACCCGTAATTCCGAATTTATGAATTAGACAAATCTAAAACAGCGTTGATAAAGACATCAAACTTCTTCAAAAGCTTTCTTCTAAAGTTATTATTAAGAAACAAATCCAAACCCAGAACCTTTTTGATAAATACAACCAGAATACAGACACGTCGCTTACCTA